GGTTTTGATTAACATCAACATTTATTATCCTTCATTGTAAATATAGACATTGTTCTCAACTTCAGTCACTATTAAGAATGTTACTCAATAAAAGTTGATACTCTCTTTAGTAATAAATTAGTATAATTGTATTTTGTTTATTTTATAGTAAAAATTCTGACCACCAGCTGGAACCCTTTATTCAATTTGTGCTGTCTTTATTCTTATTGAAGTCCCATTGGTTTAGTTAATCCCATTTATTGGGCTAATATATTAATATTGTACAGTAGCTTCAAAATTTAAATTGCTTGGCATTATTTTATTATCATTGGAGGAGTGCAAAGCACAAATACAAGGATAGAACTTGGTTTGTTGAAAGTAGAATTAAGCACTTTAATTTATTTAAAGTATTACATAATTGACTTAGTAGTACGTGGTTAATTTTGTGTCTAGCTTGCATGCAGGATAAATATTTTGTCAGCTAGGCAACATTCATTTATGTATTCTAGTCTAACTCATGTGTGGTACAGTTATTCTAACTAATTACTCCTTTGTAGGACTTTTTTTTTCTTTTTTTTTTCTTTCCAACCTTTTGTAATTAAAGAGAACCAAGCAGAGGAAGTCAGATACATGTCTGATCGCTCTCTGATGTATTGTCAAAAAATAATTATGGCATTTTGCCATATGTCATGTCTTTTTATATATTGCTTATGGGATAAAATGAGGCTTGACATAAATTAATTACTTTCTTTCTGATAAACTATCTCAAACCATGATGAATCCCTACAGGAAAAATCAGTGTGACATTGAAGATGGCAAGACTTTGTAAGACTGTATATTCTAGGTTTCAAAATTATTCTTCAGGACTTTGTGTGAGGTAAAATATGTGGGATGTGGGACCTCAGGCAGATTTCTGTAATCTGCCAAGTACATCTGGGGATGCGAGCATCTACCAGTGGGGATGCTTATCACTATAAGGAATACCAAGCAAATATCAGCAAATCTCCACGCAAAACTGATGCCAGAGCTGAACTGGGTGGGACAGGGATGTGTTCTCTGCATGGCAACCTCGGGCATGTCATCCTGCAAACATTCCATGGCTCCAGTAGAAGATTCATCTTGTTTTCTAGAAAAATGACTTATTTGTATGCCTTTTCTCTGTAGCCCTTCTTTCTAAATTACGGTATGCCTTGTAGTTTCAACAGTGTTTAAGTTAGCTACTTTACTTTGATAAGATAGCTTCTTATAGGAAAACCTGAAGAGGGCTACACCAAATGGAATGTATAAAGATTTAATAGAAATATATAGGAGTTCCAAAAATATCCTACAAAATTATTTGAAAAGGATAGACAGTATTTTTACAAGATTTTGAATCATTCTGCCGTCTAAATATGTTATTTTAAAAATCTCTTGCGTGATTTAGAGGTTATATGTAGCAAGGTTTTCATTATTAAATGCTGTAGGATATTTTTGTGCAAGTTGGCTAAATCACTCAGGCAAAATTCTCATCCACTTAGGTGTTTTTTTCCTAAATTGTTCAGGATTTGGTTTTGAATTGTCTGTAGCCAGGCAATACTAGAGTGTTTTCCGGCAGATGGATACATCTTCTTGGGTTAACAATCAGTACATGTTGATGTATTGATGTGCATTTACTATTGTTGTTTCTTTTATTCTCTGATCTTTTTAAAAGAGATGCATTTTGTTGGCAGCAGCAGTAGTTACAACAACAGAAATAAAGTGCACTAAATTAAATTAAATCGCCGTATAAGACAAATGGCTTTGCTGGGGTTACACTTCATCTCATTTTGATCTGCTGTACTTACTGTATATACTTGAATGGGTTAGAATATATACAGCTTTTTTATTTCACTTCCCCATATGATGTCAGCAATGTCTAGGTATGAAGTGTGACACCAGTATAACTGAGCAATTTACAAGATGAAACAGATCCTCCCCCTGCTCCCTCCCCCTGTTGTCGAGGAACAAACTTTAGTTCATACTGATCTTTCATATTTTTTTTTTTAAGGATCAGATGCATTTTCCTATTTCAGAATATAAATGTAGATTAGTCCTTTTTCTCTGGTATAATCTGCATCTCTCAGGGTACAAGGAAATCATACACAAGGATGAGAAGCATACAAACCAACCAAAGAAAAACTCATTGTTATTGTTTTCTAACTTTTCTGTGCAGCCAGAATGAATCAAAATTTTTAGTTCAGAAAACATTCCAAAACATATAACTGACAGTGGTGATTTGGTAGAAGATCGAGACTTGGTAAACTTTTAACACAAGAAGCATTTAACTTATGACTTTCTTGAGCAGGGCTACCTAATGTTTTGCTCTGTTTTAGGAAGTATAATTCAGTTTGACCTGTTATGTTGATCAGGTTACTATAGAACAGTTTGGAGTAGTAGGAATACAGCATGCCTCCCTCCAAACACACTTTCTTCCTTCCCATAAATTCATAAGCATGAAGAAAAAAAGCTCTAATTTTTTGTGGAGCACAATACAAGATAAATTAAGAAGGAAAGGAAGAAAAATGCCGGAGGGGTGGCACTGTTACAAGATTCTGTGTAATAGAATATGCAACAAGAGGATTTTATTTGATGAAATAACTCCTACCAGAAAGGGATGCTTGACATACGTTTCATGGTATATGCTGTTTTTGCTGAGGGAGGCAGTTGACTCTTTCAGAAGCTGCATTAAAAATGAATAGCACAAGCTAGAGCATCTGACCATTCTCCTTCAGCAATGGACTTATCCTATTATTTAAATGTAAAAAAACCATTTGAGATGTGCACACTGATATTACTTTTTTATTCCCATGACCTCTATCCTTTCTTGTCTCCTATTGTTTGTCACTCTCCTCAGTTACATTGCATTAAGGTTAAAGGGTGACTTGATCACAATATTTTAGCTACCGGCATGAGGAAAAGACAAGAGTATAACAAGATCAAGTGGCTGGAAGTTGAACTGAGACATAATCAGGCTCAAATCAATGTGCAGCTTTAAACAGTGAGGGGAATTAACCACTGTACCATTGTGGTAGATTCTCCATTCTTGGCCCTTTTAAAATCAAGATTGGCTGTTTTTTTCCTAAGAAGATGTATTCTAATCTGAACAGGAATTACTCAGGGAAGTCCTCTGGCTTGTTTTATTCAGGGAGTCAGACTACATAATTGAAAATTACCCCTTTTGACCTCAACACCTCTGAATCTGTTAAATCCAACTGTAAGTATTTTGAAGCAGAGAAAGTAGCTTATCTTTTTATTGGCATTGAGAATTCTGTGCACATTTTCTAAGGCTCCTAGCCTATATAAGTAATAGATGCTTATTGCCAGGCCAGTAACAGCATAACTCTTTTCTTCTGTTATTTTCCTCCAAATGGTTTCTTTGTCTCTCCAGCAGAGGATGTTACTTTCTTTGAGACTACTTTGACATGAGAGAAACATACAATGTAAAGAGGAAGAATGCTCTTAAAATGCTACTTCTGCATATAAAAAATGCCCCAAATATTTTACAGGTATTTTAAACACTGTTGGGATTACTGATACCAACAGGTGTAGCACCAATCCAGTCTCAACTGCTTCACCCAGAACTTTAGTAGCAATGTTAACATAGATGGGACCTGTGGCCTTTTTAAATCTCTCAGAATATGTTGCTTATAGTAGTTGTTGAAAGAGTGGTGGGATAGGTAACCAGGAGATCTGCACCAGTGGGGCAGCAAGGCTTAGAATGATTCAGTCTGGATATTCGTGTCATTGAAGTATAAAATGCAGCTGATTGAATTAGGAACACTTTAGTCTTATAATACAGGCAAGACGGTTCTTCCTCTGCTTTGATCCAATCTTCCTGCTAAGGAACACTGGAAAGACGTTTCATTGGAGCTCATCTGCAATGCTCTGCTAGCTCTGGGCACCAGTGCTGAACACCATAAATTACCACCCCTTTCACATTGCCTCCCCAGCAGTGCTGCTGCAGGAAGCAAGCAACCGTAGCCAGAAATCTAAATTCCCATAGTCGCCCATAAGAACATGCAGAGCTCTACTTCACAAGCCCAGTGCACTCACCTTTCCCCTTATTTTAAAAGTAACCAAGTTTGTACCCTTGTGCAATGCATGTGTTGGTGTGTGTATGTTTAAATGATTTTTTTTTTTTCTGGGTGAAATGCTGGAAACAGGCTCCAGAATGAATCTATAACTTTGTGGAGCCAGAGCATACAAAACTCTTAAGAGCGGGCAGCTAATAGACAAAGACTCCATTCAGTGTGTAGGCAGATAGGAATGCTGGTACCAAGCAGCTCTCTAAAGAATGTTCTTTTGGCAGAAGTTGCCTGCTAAAAATGAGGGGGAAAATGAATTTAAAATGTATCAGGCCTGGCATTGCAAAGTGATAAGACAAGTTAGCTGTTCAACATGAACGGCCAATTGCATATTCTAGGTCCTTGCTATTCTGTCCCTCCTACAGTCATAGCCCCAACCAATGTTTTGATATATTACAAAGTGGCCGTTTATTACAATTGACTGTTGAGGCCTGTGCTCTGAAATGCGTTCTGTCAACAGAATGTAAGTGACTGTGGCATTCTAAAGCTCTGCTGTTGCAGTAGCTTAGTTTTCTTGGGATTGCCATGCAGCAGGACCAGTGTTGCAGTCCCCGGTTCAAGCTCAAAATGTTGCACAGGAAGACGTACCATGTGAAGGTCAGATACAGCTATGATTCTGAGGGCTTTTGCTTATCAGCACAGTTAATATACATCAACCTTGTGTGAGTTCTGACTGTCAAAGGCTAGATTTTTTAATGTGACCTAGTAAAGAAAAATCTTGCTGTTTATTGCAGATTCTCTTATCCGAAGATGAAATGTGTCTGGGTGTGTACAGCATATTTTATTTAGACATGCACTACTATTCAGAGAAGTAATCACAATCTGTGTTACATGTGGCACGTTTCATGCATGGGGAAAGGATAGCTTTTCAGTCTCCATGGTTCTGAAAGAATATATGCATGTTGTTCTGTCTTATAGGATCTCCAGACAGAGATTGAAGCTCATACTGATATCTTCCACAACCTGGATGAAAATGGACAGAAAATCCTGAGATCGTTGGAAGGCTCTGATGATGCAGCCTTGTTGCAGAGACGCTTGGATAACATGAACTTCAGATGGGGCGAGCTTAGGAAAAAATCCCTGAACATTAGGTAGGACTCCCACAAGATAAAAAGCTGGCAATTGATTTGCAAGACAGTATAGTACTTTTCAAGCAACACCAGGGTCTAATTTTATTTCTGTTTCATTCAGTTTTGGAGTGATTCGTGCTTTTTTGACTGTTGAATTACTTTCTAAGAATGATTAATGTACCTGGTATGGAGATGATAGTGAAGGATTAAGATTTGAGGAAGATGATGAGGTTTTTAATTCCGGTTGTGATATAGAAAAAGAGATTAACATGCTTAAACAGTAATTCTAAACACAGGCTTTTTTACAGAGCTGGGTAGGACTTATCAATGTGTCATAAAAGAAAAGTGATTAAACTACATACAATTATTAGGCTGTATTTGGTGAAACTGGTTTTTTTTTTCCTGGTGCAACACTAAGAATAACCTTATTTAAGATTAGTAAACTTTATTTAAGGCTTCTCTCTCAAGATAGAGGGGAACAGAATTGAAAATTAAATCCAAGAGTAAAAAGCATCACAAGGTTTCTTAGGAGAAGAAACTCCTTGCAAGAAAGCATATAATAAATGCCAGTGTAAGAAAAAGATCAAGCAGAGGTACAAACCTCAAAGGGCTTAGAATTTCTTTTCCAAAGAAACTGACCAGGAATCTTCTCTTTCTAACTACGCTTTTTCAGTAGACTCCCCAACTCCATTGCGCGCTCTCTGTCACTTTTTCTTTTACTCACTTACTCTGTGTTGGTGGTAGTTCAGAGGGCAGCAAAAGGTAGAAGCATTTTCGAAGTCGTGTATGAAAGATTAGCTTTTGCAGCTCAAGCCCTGAGGGAGGTCAGTGCGTGTAATGACAAAAGCCATCTTCATAACATCAGTCATTAAAAATAAATGAAAGATGTGAGGCTGAAAAGATATTAGTAGTTGAAGTCAAAATTAAAAAAGATGGTTTTCTTCTCCTTTCTTCTGGTGAGCAAAAGAAAAGCTATATAATCCTTCAAAGCATCACTTTTAGTTCCTTTTCTTTAGATGCCTCTTTAGGTGTGAACTTGCTGAAATGAAAAGCGGTTTGAGGAAAAAAAAACAGCATGTTGGCCAAACATAGGTAATTTAATGTATGAGATTTTCTATATCCAGGCTTCTGGAGTTCACTTACTGCTGTCATTAATCAACCCAAAAATAGAAACCTGAGTTTATCACAGTGGCGTTACACTTTTAGATTAAAGATTTAAAGCAAAAGGCTTGCTTTCTAACACTTTACTTGTAATAAAAGGTTCAGAAAATATGTAGGTTGGCATATGAGATAATGCTTTAGCTTTTAAAACACTCGATTCAGATATGACTGACAACTGAATTAAAATGAGTTTGGTATTCTCAGTCTAGTCCCCAGGAGGTGTTTCTTTCCATCAGAAATTCACCACAATTGCTAGTGCTTGCTAAGGGGAGGTCTCATAGCAGAAACATGAACAGAGTTTGTCCTGTAGTGTAGTGTGGGTTTTAACCATTCCCTTGAATATCTTGTTTTGATTTAGATTAAATTTCAAAGATGAGTCTTATTTTTTTAAGTTCTAGAAAAGTGAAGCTGGAAACCCAAAATTAGTCACCCTGCGTCGGCACGTTCCATTTTGAATTTCTAAATGCCCAATATTTTGTTTAAAAATATATATGGGAGAAAGATCAATGTCAAGAAGCATTAAGAAATGGAAGAATTTGATTTCCAATATTATCCATTTTTCACTTGTTTGACAATTCTGATCAAATCTACCTAAATCAGCAAGCTTTACCCCAAAGTACATTTAACTTGTTTTTAACACTAATTTAAAACTGCTTTACTTTAGTTATCTGCTTTGTGTTTTCTGTTAGACCCTAAAATAACAGCTATATTTAAAAAAAAAAAAGAATGTGGACTTCTAAATATGCATTTAAAATATTTCTATTTGAAAATTTTACAAAAAGTGATGATGTCTGGTAACCTCCATAAAACTGTGGCAGTATAATTTGTAGAGACCTCAGAAAAATGTTAAATTAATATTAAATAATGGTTTTTAAGGTCTGTACATGGATCAAAGTTCAGCATTAAGTAGCATTACATAGACTTGACTTGGGAAGAATAGGATTCTGTTGAAATTTCAGTAAAAAGTCTCAATGAACAAATTCGGCTACATGATGCATTTCATCATGTGTTGTTATCAGTACAGTTACCATCAATCCAATATTACATATTTGAAGCAAGGTCATGGATCAGTTTTTCAGAAGCCCCTACATCACCTGCTAATGGAAGTAAGGGTATGTTGTCATGCTACTTGCCTTCCCCGTTCCCCACCACCACCACCTACCCTGCTGACCATCAACATTAAAACTTCCCTTGGTTCATCCCTGAGATAGTCTAGCCCACCCCGTGCTCTGATTTCATGTTCCAAGACCAAGTTTCACTCTCGCTCAACCCTTTTTTTTTAGTGTGTTCAAAACTCACACAAACTAAGCAGGATGGCAGCACAGGAAGCCCATAGCTCTTCTGCATCCTACTTCCTGCCTATTTTACCTGTGATTAGAACCAGCATAGAAAAAGACAAGTAGTGGGCCTGATTGCTAAATCTCTACTTGATTTTCCTAATATTCCCCAGCTGATTCTTCCTAGGAATTATCTTCCCATTACTTGTGTCTCTTTCTGTTTCATGCATACAGCAAGCTAATGCAATGGCAATTGCTTTATGTGCATTTAAATATGTGGGAGGGCAAATTTTTAGACATTTAAAGTATGCTATAAAAATAAATATTGAATCAATACACACATTAGTTACCATCTTGCTCCTACATGATAGCTCTCCGTGGAAAGTAATTGTTTGATATTATTATGTTCACTACTAAGTGAACAATATAGAAAAACTCCTTTTGATGTTTTGACTGAAATATTATGTTTTCTCTTTTTCATTTTTCAGTGGTGTTTCGTTTCTCTCATACCTCAAATACTGCAAACATTCTATAGCCTAAATTATCACTTTATCTATTATAAGATAAAGCATGATGTGCACTATTGTGTTTATGTAGTAACGGTCTGCTAGTTCTATTAATTTAAGGAATAGCTGTTGCATGGATTTATCGTGTGGTGGAGTACCTGGCACAGTGGATTCTGCAATATTCATTCAACTATTGGAATGAAAATGTAATATCTGTTTCAGGTTGCCTGATCTTATAATTGTCCCTATTTATGCACAGTTAGCAACAGTTACAAGACAGCACAGTATTGCTCAAGAAAAAACTGAATAGGATTGGAATATCAGGTATATTTAATGCCAGACTTGAGGAGCTTGACTAAAGTTAAATCTAACAGAACCAGATTCAGCACAAGTTGAAGTCAGTGGAAAGATTGTTATTGACTTTAATGAGTTTTGGGTTAGACCTTCTCTCTAATTTTAATGATCATTAAAGTATCCACCAAAAAAACCCAAATAACTCAAAAAAGAAAGCTTTCATTTGGGAATGCAGGCTGTAGTGAGTTGGGATTATGCCTTTTTATTTCTATTATTACCACAAAGAAGAATATTTTTACTGCTCCTGATATAACAATGCATGCTTTCAGGTCCCATTTAGAAGCCAGTTCTGACCAGTGGAAACGTCTACATCTCTCTCTCCAAGAACTTCTGGCATGGCTGCAGCTGAAGGAGGATGAGTTAAAGCAGCAGTCACCCATTGGTGGGGATCTTCCCACTGTGCAGAAGCAGAATGATACACACAGGGTAGGATTTTTTAATGCTCTTTTAATGGCTGTATTGTGTATTGTTTTATAGATCTAATTTTGGTTTAGAGTTCACACCTGCTTTGTTGGAAAGAGTATAATGCCACTGAAAACATTATTTGGAAATAAAGGAGGGAATTTTCAGAGGCCTCCAGCTCCCTCTGTGTACTTTGAAATTCCCTGCTTAAGGTTCTGTTTAAATCTCTATTATTACTAGTTCTAATTGGGATATTTTTTCTGAATTCACAATATTCACACTAGTAGCTCCAGGCCTAATGCCTCTTTTTTCCCTTGTTCCTGCTCCTCTCCTAAGGTGGCAGTGAGAACATAGTACTAACTGAGAACCTGTAGTTTCTAAGCTCCAACTTGTCTTGTTCAACTTAGTGCTCATTCATAGCACAAGGGGGAAAAATTCAGATTTGTTTAGTATACCAGCCTTCATAGCTGGTAGGCATCTCATACTCTTTTAATTGCTATAAATATAGGCAGTCAAATTTCTGTGTGGGCAAAAAGATCACCCGTTACGTTATCCATAAAATAAATAAATTTGCAATTTTCAACATAGACCTTTACAAAATCAGTGATATTGGAAGAAAGGATTGTTTATCACCATTTTGAAAACTATCATAGGGTTTTGTGGAGCTGGACAGCTATTAATGGTGGGTACAAAAATCATCAATGTAACATTTTGATGGAGAAGATGTTAGATGGTTTTAGAAGCCTGATAATGGAAGAACAGTACTTTTTTTACTCCTAGGATATAGGTCATATATTCAAAATGAGTACAGACCTCCAGGGATTAAACTTTTTGTTATATGATGGCAGCTTAGTAACATATGTGAAAACATTTGCTGTTCTCAGCTGAGGTGGGTAAGCGTACACACCATAAAAATGTCATGAGAATTGTAATTACAAAATGCATAGCACTCTCAGCAGAGAAACTGAGGACTGAATGGGTGTGGACATTATGAGTTACCCTATTGTTCATAAAGGTAACTCTTCTTTGTCATGATGTAGTATGAACAGTTGTTCTGTGGTTCCCCACATTAACCCTGCATTAAAATAAACAAGACTGAATCCAACACCCGTCATGACCTCTTAATCATTCCTGCCATACCACCTGAAAAAAGAGGTCCACAAAATATTCATTCAAAAGATATGACATATCTTGCTGCATAGAAAAGTTATGTTTTAAAAATACTTTTCTGAGTTAAGTAAAGTTCCCACATTGTTTAGCGTTAGTCTCACAACCTAGCTTTTATACAAATAGCAAGGAAATACATTTGTGGTAGATATAGATGCAACTCATAAAGATACTCTCATGGACCCAGAGTGATAGACTTCCATCTTCAACTCCCTCTGTGCAAAAATGAAGTTTATTTTCTACCTATGGGGACTTTTTATGCTCTTTAATTTTTCTTGAGCCTGAGGAAGGCCGTGTGTGCCCAAAAGCTTACAGAAACAGATTTGATTTTTTTTTTTTTGGGATTTCTTAGTTGGTTTAATAAAAGGTATCATCTCTGAACCAAGAGTTCTAGAGTTTTGCATTTCTTCTAGGTTTGTTAGGCATGTCATTATGGATATTTTCCAGAACAAAAAGCTGCAGATGGTTTGAAACTCACAACTTTTATTTGCCATCTTTGCAGTCTATTCTGATCAAAATGTAAAATCAAAGTTCTGACCATTTATGATAGCTAATAGTACAATAGCATTTTTTAATAGTGCCCATAGCAGTATGTGTTTCCATGCTGAACAGAATGTACCTGATTTCATTTGAACTAAACAGAGCTAGGTTTGTGTGCTACTGTATGAGAAATTACCTTGAAATCTCACATGCTATAGATGCAAGCCAATGACTTGGCTTTGAACACTTGACAAGAACTATACCATAGAAACTGATACAATAACAAGACTTCTTTGTGGCCCATCATCACTTCTGAGGTGATGGCTGATGTAAAAAGGTAGCAGTGAGGTCAGTGTTTAGGTAAATGTAACCTAGACTATTCATCTCTTCACCTCCCCCTTTGGGACTGAGCTGTTGCAGTCATGGGTGGTGGAGGCAGCACTGATCAAAAGAAGGGAGCAGGTCTTTCTGCTCTCAGAAAGAGCTGATTAAGATTCCCAACTACAGCAAATCCCCATGTGTCTCCTTCCAACACCTGTAAACATATCTGACCCGCTGGATGCCATTTCTTCTCCTTTTCTCTTTCTACCCTTCACTGAGTCAAACACCAGAAGGTGGTAATAATTGCTTGCAAACAAAAGCCATAGTTTTAGGACTTCCTGAAGCAACTTCTGTCAACAAGGAGAGGCTTATTTTAAACAAGTCAAGGTACAAAAAAGCATGCAGAACAATGCCTATGAATTGTATGTGAAAAAGACATCTACTGAGGTTCCTGTTATTAATATAATCTCCCTGAAAGCTTTAGTGCAAGCATTGGGGAAAAAAAAGTTTGAAAAAATGAATTTTGTATTGAGATACTGCAGTTCCAAACTATACAATGAAAATGTATTATTGCCTATGCCCAGGAGTTCAGCCCCTGTGGAAAATTATAGGTAAGCTGCAGCCAGTGAAAGCAGTTGTTATGATGAACATTAAAGGAGAATATCTTGGAGATCACAAAGTCTCAGACAATATTAGGGTTTCAAAGGTTATTCTGAAAACCTTGAATTTTATCCTGAAATGAAACAAAATATCGTAGAGCACTTAAGTACATGGGCTGTACCTACATCTGACAGTCATATTTTAAAGGACAAATTATATTACTCTATTTGGTTGGTAAAAAAGTCATAAGACCAGTATTAGAAAAATAAAGGTCATGCTCTCATGCAAACTAACAATAATGACAGCTATTTCAAAGTAGTCTCCTGGGAATGAGAAGCAGTGATGATTCCTAATAGGTTATGAACCACTAAAATGAAAGGTGGATATAACTTCTCAGATCCTCTCCAGTTCCCCAGAACAATTTCCCTTGTACTATATATATCTATTTGATGTGTTTTAAGGTGGCAAATCCAGTTACTGCAGTTAGTTTCTGGAAAGCAGAATGCATGAATTTCTGCCCCAGATGGAGAGGACAGGTTGAAGAGGAGATGGTGGTTCACACAAAAGATGCACAATCCTTTCACATATTTCTTGTTTGAGGGTTAGCACAGAAAATGGTGAGGCCAAGAAATTCACAGCTACATGGAACAGCCTGGGACCTTTCTTTTCCCTCACCAGTGGTGACAGCATGTAAGGTGCATTAGGAACTGCTTGAGCCATTTGACTGAAGTATCTAGCAGAAAGCAGCTTTAAAAGTATTCTGTGAATGGGGGAAACATGAAGTTGAGTTATGTTATAAGGATCCAGGAAAATTAAACAACATAGACGTTGGCATAATTCCCAATGATCACTCTACTTCTAACTCAAATCTTTCTCCCAAAATAAAATGTTTGAGATAAAGTAGAATTTGGCAAGACACTTAGTTGAAATAGATTATTTCTTAAGCAAAGATTTAAACACTATACACCTGCCACCTGACCCATACCTGTGTACTTGAGAACATCCTCATCCCCTTAGAGCAAAGCTGTACATTTTTCAGGGAGATAAGATATTCTTTGCAAAACCTAAAATGTTATGCATTATCATTGTGCCCTGACACTGTTTATGAAGATGTCAGATTCCACCCAGAGGTGATGACACTCCAGTGATAGATTAAGTGATCCTTGTGTGGTTTCCACATCAGTTTAAGTTTGTAAATCTGCTTTAAGGTGAAAGGTGCCAGATAAACATAAGTTATCATAAGTAGTTACCAAGAGACTTTATAAAATAGGCCCTCGTCCCTCCTTTTCTAATCCCCTCCTCCTCCACATAGATACACACATGTATCTCTCAGTCACAATAACTAAATATTTCCTAATATCAAAGCCAGACCAGTTTAGTCACTTGGAAAAAGCCTCTTTTTTCAGGCAATAGCAGTTTTTTAGTTTAAAGGGCGATATGTCTAGTTACAGGCACTCTGGCTCCCTGTGGAAGAAAGAACAAACTATAATCCTTGAAATTAGGTCACCCTGTCTAGCCTTCAAAGGTCTCTTACAGGGAGGGAGGGAAACACGATCAGTACAAAACTCTATCAGTTTCAAGTGATCTCTGATGGTCTATGTTTGCAGTTTTCTGTTATTCTTCTCCTGTATTTTTCCCCTTGAACAGCATGGACCTTGTATCACTCTACAGTTTTCCTGGTCCCAGCAACCAACCTACCTTGTTGTATTACAATCAGGATGTTATGGCTGCACAAGACACTTAGGAATTTAAATCCAACAGGACCATACAAGCACAATTTATTGTAACCTCTTAAAAAATATTTCATTTTGTTGGTGGGATTTTGGCCTCCAGAAAAGCTGTGTAACCCCAGAAGTATGATTCCTTTGTATGGTTCTTTTTTATTTTCCTTTTCTTTTCTTTTAAGCTAATGGTCATAAGTGCTTGGCAATTAAAAAAATATTTTGCCTGGACATTTTTCTTTTTGCTTGACTGAATGCACTTGTAGGCTATGTCTTCATTAGGGTGAAAACATGCTTGTGTGTTCTTGCTTTTAGGATCCTGTTATGGGATTAATTCTGGTGTAAACAGGCTACTTTTCTTTTCCATTTTTCATGAGCCCGATTGGCAAATCATGCTGTATATTATTTCCTTTAGATAGAGATTGTATTGTCATGGTTAATAACAATAGATTAATAACATATTAATTAACATTTGCAGGAGGGAAATAATCCCATAAAATTTATGGCAGGCCTGATTATGGTAAAAGACACTTGCTGTCTACATAGAATGTCTAGGTTTTCTACTTGACTGTGATTCCTTATCTTTTTATTTTTCTAAATTAATCTAAGTATCGTTTGAAGGGCATATTTTAAAAAATTGCATTTATACTGATAAATTATAATAATCCTGAATACATTTAACTGCAGCCTTTCTTCTCAAATTCCATTAAAATAGAATACTTGTCTGTCTCCAAA